GTACTACTGCTGCTGGAGGTACTGGAGCTGATGGTCCCGGAGGTGCTCGTACTAGAGGTACTGGAGCTGCTGGGGCTGGTGGTGCTGCAAGAGTTGGAGTTGGAGGCGCAGAAGCTATAACAACTGGAGGTGCTGCTAGAGCTAGAGCTCCTAGAGGTGCTAGAGCTGGTGGTGCTGCAAGGGTTGGAGCTGGAGGCGCTGGAGCTGTTCCTGCTAGAGGTGCTGCTAGAGCTGGAGCTGCTGCTCGTGCTGAAGCTATTGATGCTGCAGGAGCTGGAGCTGGGGGTACTGGTGCTGTCTCCACTCATTCATGTGGTGCTGCACGGCCGGCGGCCGTACTTCGTTCCACTCCTTCAACAGATTCTTAGTCTCCCGCCTTCTACTGGTCCTACTCCTCCCTTACTATGTCCACCATTTGTCCAGTCAGCGTCGTAGTTACAGCCATCCTCCCAACTGCCTGGTCCTTCTCCTTACTCTAGGCCGACCAGAGGTCTTGCGGAGTGTGATGAGCCTGAGTCTCGTCCTTTGTCGCCTGTTCGCCCTCATCGCACTGGTCTTTTTGTTCCGCGTCCGCGTCCACCTCTTGTCCCCGGCACGCACCATATGGCACTTCATCCTTCCTCTGTTCCACAGCGTGTCCCGCTGCCGTCTCCTCCTGCGTCCTCCCTTGCTGACGATCTGGACCTGGAGTCTGGCTCCCTTCGTGCTACTAGTCCTACTATCATGCGTCTCTTAGCCACTTTAGTCACTAACCCTTCATTTGAGTCCAGTGCTGCGTCTGCCTTAGTTGCTGGGCTTGTCGACTTTGCTGCTCGCTGTCGTCTGGACTACACCGCTAGTCTTGTTGCTGAGTCTGAGTTTCTCTGTCCTCTGTCCGTCGGGGGTGAGAGTGCCCTTGGCACGGACGTCCTTGAGAACAGGCAGGAGGAGTTCCAGTGTCTGGCAGCTGCTTCACCTCATCTCGTGTCCGTACTACTTACCCCTGAGGGAGACCCGGATGCACTTGACATCCCGACTCCGCGCTCTTACGCGGAGGCGATAGAGGGTCCCTACTCCTCTAAGTGGCAGGCAGCTATGGATGCAGAGATGGCTTCCTGGAAGTCCACAGGCACCTACTTTGACGCTATCCCCCCTCCTGGGGCGAACATTGTCAGTGGCATGTGGATTTTCAAGGTGAAGCGGCCGCCGGGTTCTCCGCCTGTCTTCAAGGCGCGTTACGTGGCTCGTGGCTTCAGTCAGCGGCAGGGAGTTGACTACTTTCAGACCTTTTCCCCCACCCCGAAGATGACCACTCTTCGGGTACTGCTGCACGTTGCTGCTCACCGTGACTACGAGCTGCACTCTCTCGACTTCAGCACTGCTCTCTTGCAGGGCAGCCTGCACGAGGAGATCTGGCTGCGCCGCCCACCCGGCTTCACTGGATCTTTCCCTCCTGGTACCCAGTGGAGTCTCCGGCGTCCAGTCTACAGTCTCCGCCAGGCGCCACGTAAGTGGCACGACACACTGAGGACTACGCTTGCGGCTCTTGGGTTTGCTCCTTCTACTGCCGACCCGTCGCTGTTTCTGCGCACCGACACCTCTCTACCGCCGTTCTACATCCTTGTGTACGTCGACGACTTGGTCTTTGCCACAACTGACACTGAGGGGACTCGCACACGTGAAGTCAGAGCTGCATAAGAGACACACGTGCACAGACCTGGGTTAGTTGCGCTACTATCTTGGCTTGCAGATCACCCGGGACAGAGCACAGCGCACCATTACCTTGACTCAGTCACACATGGTGCAGCAGGTTCTTCTGCGCTTCCGCTTCATGTACTCCTCAACATTGTCCACTCCTGTGCCTACCGGTCATTCGATCTCAGCTCTGCCTTCAGATGAGTCCGTAGAGCCAAGTGGCCCATATCCAGAGCTTATGGGCTGCCTCATGTACGTGCTGACCTGCACTCAGCCTGACCTCGCTTACCCTCTTAGCATCCTGGCACGCTACATATCTCCCGGGAGACACCGACCAGAGCACTGGAAGGCCGCTAAGAGGGTGATGCGCTACTTGTGTAGTACGTCGGGCATGGGGCTCGTGCTTTGAGGACGGGCTCGAGTTGTCCTCACTGGTCACACAGACACTTCTTAGATTAACAACTTGGCTATGCTGCAGTCGTCATAGGGTTACATCTTCAGCCTTGGCTCCGATTATGTTTCGTAGCGGTCTACCCACTCGTCTTCTGTTCTCAGCTCCAGCTGTGAGGCTGAGATCTACGTTGGGGCCATGGTTGTACAAGAGTTACACTAGCTCACCTACCTGCTGGCCGACTTGGGAGAGGCGCCTCGTTCTCCTCTATTCTGTACTCCGAGAATAAGGCCATGATTGCATTGTGTCAGGAGCACAGAACGAAGCACATCGCTTTGCGCTACATCCTGGCCCAAGAGTTGCAGTAGCGTGGTCAGGTTCGTCTTGTTTATGTGCCCTCAGAGTTTAACACTGCTTATATATTCACCAAGGCACTCTAGCCTTGTGTTCATCAGCGCTTTTGTACTATTTTGGGCCTTGTGCCTACTTGGCCTCACTTTCTCACCTCTTGACTTTGCTTGTACTGTGATCTATACACGTATACCTGCATGTTTACACTTGCTAGGTTGTGATTACTGTACTGCTCGTTCTCCTTTGTATATAGTTCTGCATGTGAACTGGCCTTGTGGCCATTTGTACTCGGACTGTGTGCTGACGTTGTGATCCACCCTGAGCTTGACCTTGCTTGGTTCTCTTGCTTGTTCCCCACTTTGTCTATGGGGGTGTGTCAGAACTATGCATTTACATGCTCTTTTCTGTAGTGGGGCACTCCTTATGGGGTACAGACTAATTAGGTTTCGCTATACAAACGCTGTACTGCTGTTGTTCTAGTTATTCCCATACCCACTTTCTAATAGACATGGCAAATGCGGCCTAAGTATGGCATACAGGACGCGAATGAATGCACAATTGTGGCGCGTACAGTGAATCGAACGTGTTGTTCTGGGCACGTACGACAAGTGACGAATTCTACGAAACGTCCGCGACGAAATAGAACCTCCGCCAATAATCGCAGCCATGGCGCGACGCCTGCAGAAGTATATGTGGTAACCTACATCCCCGATAAGCGGCTCGGCGCACCCCCTATAAGGTCGAACATTTAATTCGACCTTGGATGTGCGATTGTGACCTACCTGAAACTATTATGTGCGGCTCGAACTTCACGTTCAACGGAAGTCTAGCACTGTTCGGCTCAAGTTTAGATGCTATATTTGACAAAAATATGTAGACTTAGCCAATCTAAAAAATCACACACACCCTTAGTGGAAGGAATTGTAATTTCTTATATGATGCATGGCCCTGGTTTGAGTGGATAGCGACCACACGAAACCATGACGTGGTGATTTTGCAATGGCTGGATACATTTTCCTGAGATATCGTCACAAAATTGTTGTCCATGTCAGCAGCAGGCCCCCGTCAAATTTCGCCCTTCCCCCCAAAAATGTGTCCCCCCCTCCCGCGCAATTCACCCTACCCGTAACACCACACCTTCGCGCCAGTTCGTTTCTTCCCTGCCACCTAGATGCCCTCACCTCACGTCCACCCTAGATGAACACGAAATGCCCGAACCGAAGCACCAAACGAATCAAGGAAAGCACCGAAGCACCCTCGCAAATGTACGAGCCAAGCCACAACGTATGTGTAGCGCGGTTTGTAGGGCCCTTTACTTGTAAAAGGGAGGGTATTCTTGGCTTCGTGTCATCCGGAGTTTGGGTCTTCTCAACATGTACAGTAAGATACGGGCTATAATATTGCAGCTCGTGTCAGCGACCACGTTTCGCACACGGTTGTTAGGTTTGGACTAGCCGAAAGTTACCACATCTCCGTCACCTGAAACTAGATGTCAATTTGTCACTATAAGGGCGGGTCATGTTTAATTCTACTGGTTCGTTTCATGCGGTTCAGTACGTTAAAACATAATAAACGAACGGTTTGCGTCAGAGGAAACTCAGAATCGTCTTCAACCCGTTTCTAATGTACTTGACCGCTTTAAACGAACCTGGTACGCAAAAGCGTGACCCGCCCTAATGTTGGACTTCGCCACGGGCGATTATTCACCCGCTATCGCAAACGGCCTCTTGACCCCAACATTGACAGTCAGCCGTCAAAGTCGGATCTTGATTTGGGCGCTAGTGTGAGTCACTGCTCCTGACTTTTGCTCAACACTTCCGATCCGAACTTCACAACTACACTGCTCTTGGCTTTTGCTCAGCACTTCCGAACTTCACAACTCAAGATCTCAACGAGATTGGCGGGGAGCTGCAAGATCGTAGACACCTGGTCGCTTCGCTCCTTCTCGACAATGCAGCTATACTGGTGCACGTCAAATCTTTAAACCAGCGTTCGCACGATTCTCCAGTCCGTGAAATTATCAGACATGCCTCCCTACAGACTTCCCTTGCGCGTCAGCGCCGGATCTCTCGCACATCTCTACCGAATCCGCTGCTCGCTGGCTGTCCTTGTAATCTCCGCCGCGTATGCCGTTATCTACATCGGTGGTGTATTTCCACTAAAATCTAAGCCGGCGCCGCCGAAAATTTCGACACGCTACAATTTTTCTGGAGATTTCGAGGGACCGGGGTTTGTATCGGCTGAATCTGCGTGGAAACTGCGCGATGGGGAGGTGCTCCCTGGAGTTTCGCAGGCCCGATTGGCCACATGGCGAGCCGCTGCGCGAACACGGATGAACGCCGCAGCTGACGCTGATACGGCTAGCTCTGAACCAGTTGAAGCTGCTGGAGGTGACGCTGCTTCCCACTACGACCTTACAAGGCGGCTTGAATTTCCAGCTGCATCACAGAGCACGGCAGGCGTTGGCGACTTGTGCGGATGGCCGGAGCCTGCGGCCCCTACCGCACGGGATGGTTCGGTTTGGTACAGCACCAATGGCAGCGCGTGGATGCAGCACGCGAATCTGACGACGCTACTAGCGGGGATGGCGGCGGGACGCGGAGTAAACCAGGCGGCAGTGGAAGGAAGCGAACGGGAGGTGAGGGGGGGTCGAACACGGGCAGGTGTGAGCATTGAAGGGCCGTTAGTAGCACCAGACGATACAGTCAATGGGATGATAGGGGTGAGCGTTGATTGAGAATCGCCCCGAATACTCTCGTTACTTCCCCGCGAACTTCGATACTTCACTTTTGATCCTAAACCTTCACCCTAAACCCTCCTCCGCTCCTCCCCTCTCCTCCCTCCTCCCCTAGGCTGTATGTGTGGCGGTGTATCTGCCACCCCATTGGTTCCCCTGCGCCGACTCGCCAGCTGGCTGCCGGCTGGCAGTGTGGGTGCGCCCTGGGTCGACGGACGTGTCGCTGCTCAACCAGGTGCTCAACAAGCGCTCCTTCCGCTTCCTGCGCCCCTCGCTGCTCCCGCACTTCCGCCCCTCCGCCATTCTCGATGCCGGCGCTAACATCGGCCTCGCCTCTCTCGTCTTCGCCATGCGGTATGTATGAGGCGATTCAGCTATGAGGACCGGCGGTATGATGTGATTCAGCTATGAGGACCGGCGGTATGATGTGATTCAGCTATGAGGACCGGCGGTATGATGTGATTCAGCTATGAGGACCGGCGGTATGATGTGATTCAGCTATGAGGACCGGCGGTATGATGTGATTCAGCTATGAGGACCGGCGGTATGAGGTGATTCAGCTATGAGGACCGGTGGTATGATGTGATTCAGCTATGAGGACCGGTGGTTTCGCCTTGCACTTGTTTTTTCGCCTGTGCTGTGCACATTCCACTCGACCTCGCAAATTTTGTTAACCAGTTTGTTTGTGGTCCCTCACTCTTCGTCCCTCCTTGCTCGTTTAACCGTTTTTTTACGAAAATCTTATTTAACCTTGCTGCTGGCACATGCTAGTGTGTGCGGCACGCTCCCACTCACATGCGCTGCTTGCTGTTCATTCGCCCACGCGCCTCGCCTTGCTGGCATTCCGCAACATCCTCCTCTGCTCCTTCCACCCCATCTCATCTTGGCTGTGCGCTTTTCTTCCCACTTCCCATTGCTCCCCTCGTTCCTCCCTCCTCCCCATTCCTTGCCCCTTCCCCCGAGCAGCTTCCTCGATGCGCTCATAGTGGCGGTAGATGCCTGCGCGGGACAGTTTCCCGTAGAGAGTGGAATTTTGAGGCGTCTCAAATATTCACTTAGTACACATAAATAACCGCGCGGGACAGTTTCCCGTCTGCGCACCAGTTTGTTGCCCCTCACTCTTGGTCCCTCGTTGCATCATTGCCTTCTCCTTGCCTCCATTACCCCATGCCTCCCTGCTGAGCAGCTTCCCTGATGCGCTCATAGTGGCGGTGGAGCCGGCACGGGACAACTTCGCCCTGCTGCAACGCAATGTGGCGCACCTTCCCCAGATACTACCAGTCAATGCCGCCCTCTGGTCGCATGACTCGCGGATTGCCGTTACTATCGGCGTCAGGGGGGGCTTCTGGGGCTACGAGATGGTCCCATGTGGGCATCCGCAAGCGGGAGGGGGGCAGCAAGAGGGGAGAGAGCTGCAAGAGGGGGGAGAGGTGCAAACACAAGAGCAGAAAGAGCAGCACGTGCAGCAACAGGATCAGCTGGACGAGCGGGAGCAGCAATCCAGCAGCACAGTGAATCCCCTGTCACCCGCTCCTCCCTCCCCCTGCATGGCGGCCGTGGCAGTGCCGTCCCTGCTGCAGCGCCTGCATGTGCCGCGCTTTGACTTTGCCAAGATCGACATTGAAGGCGCTGAGCTGCAGGTGTTCTCTCCCTCTGCTCTTGCCAGCGCAGCCACGGCAGGCAGGGGCCATGGGGGCCTTGGAGGGGCAAGTGGAGGGATGGGGAGAGGAGGGGTGAGAGGAGCAAGAAGGGGAGGAGAAGCAGCAGGGGGGTGGCACCGGGATGTGGCGGTGCTGGGTATGGAGAAGCATGAGGACAAGGCGCCGGGCACAGGCGCGCGCATGGAGGAGGTGTATCCGCGCACACACTACGACGTGCGCATTTTTGGCGAGTACACTGTGTACTTCAGCCCCGGGGCGGGGGTGCGCGCAACGTCCCCAATAGCCAGCCTCTTTAGACTAATCTGGCCTACGAAGGACTGATTATTAGTTTTTGTTTTTTGTTTTTTTTTTTTTTTTCGCGTTTGCGGAAGGTCACAGGAATACATATGTAACGTCAATGACAATATCTGGATCAGGCATGGACAGTGATATTTCTTGGGAAGCTTTATCTTAGGGTACATTCCGTTGTGGACCATGTCCCAATCGATGTGTCCCAATCACGATTTGCCCGGGTCGCGCTCAAATGTCTAGAGTTTGCATGTCCCAATCGATCGATGTATTGCGAGTCTGTACAGACGCGCGACAATTATGTGCGAACGTCTGTGATTGGTCAGAGAATGAACATGCCCACTCGTCCTTGCGCAGCACATACACCAACACCTCCAGGTCCGCGGATGATCCTCGGTGATGTCCAGGGAGGCCGCGGAGGGTACAGTACTCATCCGCAGTGTCAATAATTGCGGCAACAGCACGTACATATGCAACTCCCCTTCTTGACTGCTGTGATTTTATAATCAACCATAGCACAGACACCATTACTACACACGCATAATCCCTTCGGATGATGGCAGAGCCTAGAGCCATCCCCTTCATCCTACGCCTCCTCGTCGCCTAGGTCACCTACTACTACACAATTTTCTACGAAAATGTAGCCAAGTCCTTCGTAGGCCTCATAGAGTATGGTGTGTTTGAGGACGAGGACGAGCAGTCCTCATCGTCCAGTGACGACAGCGGAGAGAACCGCCGTCACAGAGCGAGGGTACGGCGGCGACGTCATGCTTTGTGGGTTGAAGACCTGCAACACATTCGGGAGAATGATTTCCAAGACATATTCCGGATCAACCGCGCCATACTTGAGCATGTGAAGACTGGGATGCGACAATATCTAGAGCCCACCGTCCATCAGTCGATAGTCACAATGGACACTGCTTTGCTCATCCCAATAAAGTACTTGGCGAGTGGGATATCATACGTCGACATGTCGTACCTGTTCGGTGTCTCCAAGACACTCTGCCACGAGCTTGTTGACGTGTTCCTCACCCAATTCCCCTCAGTCTTCAAGGCCGCCTGGGTGCGCTTTCCCACACGCGATGAACTTCCCGAGATGGCGCGTGAATTCGCAGACATCAGAAGTGTACCTGCAGTGGTGGGAGCTGTGGACGGGACTCACATCCACATGAAAGGGATGGAAGGGCACAGGGCACAGGGCACTGGGCACTGGACAAGGAAGTCGGCCTACGCCGTTCAGCTCCAAATCACATGTGATGCACGAGGCAGGATATGGGATTACCTCATCGGATATCCCGGCAGCGTGCACGACATGCGGGTTTTCAAAGAGTCTGCACTATTTGAGAGGTTACACAATGGGGACATAGCCCCATACCAGATTGTGGGGGATGCGGCCTACCCGCTACGAGAATACTGCCTAACCCCCCTGCATGCTCCGCGCGGAGAGGAGCTAATGGACGATTGGGCCCAATGTTTCAACTACTGCTAGAGCGCCACGCGCATGGCGGTGGAAAGGTGCATTGGCGCCTTCAAAGGGAGATGGCGCATCTTTGGCGGGCGCAACGACTGCAGGTTGTGGCGCATTCTCGTAGGAGCCGCGTGTTGTGTGATCCTGCACAACATGTGTAAAGAGATGGCAGTCGTAAGGCGCATGAACATGGCCTCGTTCAATCTGCCCCGCAACCGCGACCCTTGGTGGACATGGGGTGCCATTGCGACACACAAGTGGGAACCCTATGTTCCCCCAACACATCAGGCTTTGAGAGAGAGGCGGAAAAGACTGGGCGAGGCCCTACAGGACTCTTACGCTAATCGTCGGCGCCGCGCACCCATATCTCCACATCCTCCGCACCTAGAGTGACGGTGTTGACGTGGCCAACATCGTCGCCATGCTGTGCGGCTTCGGGAGGTGGCGCGGACTCCCCGCGTGGCGGAGGAGGGCTGGAATCCGGCGGCGCACGGTGCACGTCCGGGGGCGCCGATTCAGTCATGCGCTCGCGGGCAAGTCGCATGTCCTGCGCCATCCATTCACGGACGAGGCTCTCAATGCGCATCATCGCGTCACCGTGACAGTCTTTGATGGTCGCGGAGACCAGCATGGCTGCTTGCATGGTAACCGTCTCATGCACCCGTGCGCGCTTAGGTGGGGAGGTGGTCGGCGGCGGCGGAGCTGTGATAGGGGATATGGGAAAATAGTATAGTCGATTAGTCCGACTATTTCGGATTGATGTAACACGCATGTTGGCTAAAATAATAAACGGATTCTAACCATTCAAACAACGAAGAGTTAAACGCATGTCAAGGTAGAGGTGATAGAAGGACGACTCACCTGTAAAGGTTGGTGTTGACGTGCCTGGCTGAGACGAACTGGGAACCTCCATGCTGGCCGGCACGTTGACGTCAGTGGCGCCTCTGCCGTCCACCGCATACGGTGCGGCTGCGGTGGTGTCCTGGTTGTGCAGCTCCAGGTACGGATACTATGGTGGTTTCTCAACCGAGCCGTGGCCTGACCCCCCATCAACACGCTTGTACTCCCGCCAAAAACGCGTCAAGTTACACCACTGCTTTTGCAATGCGTTGATACCCCTGCACCATCCAGGGTTCAACTCCTTGATGTGCGCCAATAGTCGGACCCAATACTGCGTCCCCTACTTCCCCTTGAGAGACTCGAGCTCATCTTTCATGAACCACTTCGCAGCGGCGAATAAGGTGCTCTCCTTGTCCGACCATAAGCCATTCTCAAATGGTGCAGCTGCCCGCTTCTTGCGTGGTTCCTGTCGTGGCGGTGGTCTCGCCGCCTTGCCTTTGCCTTTGTTCTTAACAGATGCGCGTGCAGCGCTCCGTTTCTGCGGGTGAGACACATGTTGCGCTTCCTCCTCGGACTCGTCCTCGGCGTCGTCCTCCGCGTCCTCAACGTCGTCGTCGTCGTCGTCGCTGGGCGACATCCCAGCGTCTTCCGGTTCCTCCTCGTCGTCGTTGGTTTCGAGGCCTTGTTCAGGGTCGTCATCATCGTCATCGTCAGCATCTTGTTCCGCGACTGGCCGCTGTATTGCAGCCGTCCTTGCAGGCTGACGGCGCACACGTGACGGGGCCGCACTGGGTGACTCTGTGAAGAAATGAGGAATGGATGAACTAGCAAGCAGGTGGGTACAAGTCGGAAAAACTTTAAGTGCTGTACCCCATATTGTCTACCCCACAATAGCTTACACAGACTATAGCATAAGAGTTTGATACACCCCCATAGGCAAAGTGGGTGAGAACAAGAGGTAACAAGACCAGTCAAGCAAAGCAAAGCAAGCTCAGGGTGGATCACAACGTCGCCACACAGTCCGAGCACAAGAGCAAGACCAGAAGGTCTGTTCACATGCAAGATCATATATAAAGGTAAACAAGCAAGTGCAGGTATAGAAAGATCACAGTACAAGCAAGGTCAAGAAGTGAGCAAGTGAGGCCAAGTAGGCACAAGACCTAGCATCGTACAGAAGCGCTGATGATCACAAGGCGGAAGTGCCTTGGTAAAGATATCAGCAGTGTTGGCCTCAGAGGCCACGTAAGCAAGGCGCAGCTGATCACGTTGCTGCAGCTCACGAGCAAAGGAAGTAGCAAAGAGCAATGTGCTTCGTTCTGTGCTTCAGTCTGTGCTCCCGACACAAGGCCAGCATGGCCTTGTTGTCTACTTACAGAACTAGAGGAGAACGAGGCGGTTCTCCTAGGTCAGTCAGCAAGTAGGTGAGCCAGCATAGCTCCTGTGCAGCCATGGCCCCTGCGTAGATCTCAGCCTCACAGCTGGAGCCGAGAACAGAAGACGAGCATGTAGACTGCCACGAAACAGAGCCGGAGCCAAGGCTGAAGTTGTAACCATGTGACGACCACTGCGTAGCCTGGTCGTCAGCCCAAGAAGCGTCTGCGTGACCTATGAGGACCACTCATTGTCGCCCTCCAAGCACTAGCCCCATGCCCGACGTACTACACAAGTAGCGCAACACCCTCTTCGCTGCAGCCATGTGCTCTGATCGGTGTCTCCTTAGGAGCAACATAGTGTGCCAAGATGCTAAGAGGGTACGCAAGGTTAGGTCGTGTACATGGGGCAGCCAACAAGCTCTGGGTACGGGCCACTCGGCTCTACGAACTCATCCGAAGGCAGAGGTGAGAGCGAGTGGCAAGTAGACAGAGGAGTGGCCTGAGGCGAGGAGTACGTGAAGTCGAAGAGCCGAAGGACCTGCTGCACCATGTGTGACTGAGTCAGGGTAATGGTGCGCTGTGCTCTGTCCCGGGTGATCTGCTAGCCAAGGTAGCTGCGTAGTTCACCCAGGTCTGTGCACGTGTGTCTCTTCTGCAGCTCGGACTTTACGTGGGCGAGTCCAGCAGTGTGAGTAGTGGCAAAGACCAAGTCGTCGACGTACACGAGGATGTAGAACAACTGCACAGAGGTGTCGGTGCGCAGAAACAGCGATGGGTCGGCTGTAGAAGGAGCAAACCCAAGAGCCGCAAGTGTAGTCCCCAGCGTGTCGTGCCACTCACGGGGCGCCTGGTGGGGACCGTAGACTGGCCGCCGGAGGCTCCACTGGGTACCAGGAGGAAACGGCCCAGTGAAGCCAGGAGGGCGGCGCAGCCAGATCAACTCGTGCAAGCTGCCCTGCAAGAAAGCTGTGTTGAAGTCAAGAGAGTGAAGCTCGTAGTCGCGCTGAGCGGCTATGTGCAGCAGCACCCGAAGAGTGGTCATCTTTGACGTGGGAGAGAAGGTTTGAAAGTAGTCAACTCCTTGCCGCTGACTGAGGCCTCGAGCCACGTAACGCGCCTTGAAGACAGGCGGAGAACCCGGCGGCCGCTTCACCCTGAAAATCCACATGCCAGTGACGATGTTCGCCCCACGAGGGGGAACCTCGTCAACGTAGGTGGCTGTGGACTTCGAGGAAGCCATCTCTTCGTCCATGGCTGACTGCCACTGAGAGGAGTAGGGACCCTCGATCACCTCAGCGTACGATCGAGGAGTCGGGATGTCTGGTGCATCCGGGTCTCCCTCAAGGGCAATC